GCGACAGCCCCGGGCTCAGCCCCCTTCGCAGCCCTTCTGTCCCCACCCCAGCCGCCTCCGGAGTGCACGGGGGAGCTACCTGGGCGGCCGGCCGGGGCTCCAGGGGCGGCACCAGGCTGGCCGTGTAGAAGGAGCCCAGAGCCCAGGCCTGGGTGAGGGCGCTGCCCTCCCACAGGGACTGCTGCTTCCCCGCGGGCGGCTGCAGACACCAGCTGGCCCTCTCCAGCTCTCCCCTCAGCCTCCCGCGCGTGGGCAGGGGCGGCGTGCTGGCCACCTCCGCCTCCTCGGCCAGGAGCTGGGCCACGCGGTCCTCGATCTGCCTGCCCGTGGTCTCTGCGTCCTGTGCCAGCAGCTGGGGTGGCGGTGCGGCTTTCTGCTTGCGGCTCTTCTTCTCTGGGGTGAGCAGAGCCACCGGTCAGGGCGCCGCGCCCGCGAGCCGCCCGCCCCGCGGAGCCCCACACACCTGCTCCTGGCCACAGGTTCTCGGCGGCCGCGCGGCCTGGCCTGGGCGCCCCCAGCCTGGCTTCCAGCTCTGAGCGTGACAGGGCCATGGCCACCAGCAGGTCCTCGGATGGCGCCGCGGGCCCGCTGACCCTCCGCCTCTTCTGTGGCTCCTTCCTGCCAGCGGACCCCTTCCGCTTCAGACCTCCGCCGAGGCTGCAGGGTGGCCAGAGGGAGAGGTCAGTGGGGGCTGGCGGGGCGGCTTCCTTTTCTGAGCTGGGCCCTCCTTGGCGGGTGGGGGAAATGGGGAGCCCTCCTGGGCGCCACCTGGTCGGTGCCCCATGAGCCCCTCAGGCAGTCACAGCCCCATGGGGGCAGGAGGACTCCTTCCTTCGGGGGCGGCCCTGAGACCGACCCCCAGGCCACACTCTGGGGAGGCCCCCACGTTTCTTTCCTGAGGCCTTCTGTGGTCATGGGGAGCGACAGCCCTCTCATCTTGGGACTGAGTCGCTTGAGAGAAACTCAGGCCCAGCCCGAGGGACGGCGGCCGGGCAGCGCGGCTGGGCGCGCGTCCCGGGGACCCTCCGAGCAGCTGGGGTTTCTGGGCTACACAGCGTGGGGCGTCCCGCCCGTTCCCGTGAGGCGACTCAGCACAGCTGCGAGTCCTGGAGGCAGAACCACGAGGCTTTCTCTGTCGGCGTAAACTAACGATTAAAAGTTAGACTGGGGAGCTGATGGTGGCGGGAGCAGCCCCTCCATGCGCCAGAGGCACAACAGTGGGGGGCTCCCCCAACTGGCCCCCACTCTCTAGGCCCCACGGGCCCTGCCTGCCTGCGGCACCCACACTCCCCGGCCCCATCCTGTGGGCGCAGGGGCTGAGCCCGCTGCCTGGCCCAGCGGCAGGCTTGGCTTTGGTGACTGCCAGCACCCCCGGGCCCCCCGCACGGCAGAGCCGGGGCAGTGGCTCCCGCCTCCCCCCTGAGCCCCGGGACTCTCCGTCCTGCTGGACGGAAGGTCCTTGAAGTGAATCTCCGAAGCAGAAGGCTGCTGCAGACTGCCGTGACGGCCGACCTTGCAGTGGCCATTCCTTCAGCTGGACAGGGCCGCCCCGGGCGCCCAGCCGCGCCGCCCGCAGACACGGGGAGCCATTCCAAGGCCCTCACGAGGCCGCGCTGCCCGGCCGCCGTCCCTCGGGCTGGGCCTGAGTTTCTCTCAAGCGACTCAGTCCCAAGATGAGAGGGCTGTCGCTCCCCATGACCACAGAAGGCCTCAGGAAAGAAATGTGGGGGCCTCCCCAGAGTGTGGCCTGGGGGTCGGTCTCAGCATTATCACCGCTGAGGTGTAAGCTTGACCCCTGGCCAGGGAGTGACCCCTCCTGTCTCCCCACTGCTCCTTCAGCAGTGTGTCTCAGTGGATCCGCCTGTCCTGCCCCCCACTGTCTCTGGGGAACCCTCTCACTCCTGTCTCTCTGGCCTGTACCCCAACTCTTGTATGCAAAAAGAAGAGAAAAACCCAGTATGTTAAAAAAAAAGAATAGACTCCCCAGAGTGCTACCCTGAGGGGCTCCCCTCACCTGAGTGCTGGTGTGGCCAAGCTGGGGGCCCCCTCGGGGTGCGTGGTTTGCAGCCGCACAGCCTGGAGCAGGAGCTGGGGCCCGACCTCCATCTTTGCTGCGCACTGTTTCAAGTGGCTGCTTCTGCTCTTAGGGCTGAGAAATGGTTTGCCACAGATGGGGCACTCGGGGACCTGTGGTGCTGAAGGCCTTGCCGCCTTCTCAGCCTCATCCAGGCACCTGGCAGAAGACATGAGCAGTGGGAACGGCCGCCCCACCCCAGGGCCAGCCCCCCCAGATGCCCCCTTCAGGCGCTGAATTCAGGGGCCTGGAGAACTCGAGCCAGTCCCGCACAGGCCCGAGGCCTGAAGACAGGTGCACACACGTCCACAGCAGCTCTGTGCAGGGCCCGGCCCGCATCTGTCAACAGATGAGCAACGGGTCGGTCCACAGAGGGACGGAGCCGGCACACAGCAGCTCTGACCCGCGACAGCGCGGCGGCGCCGAGGAGGCCCAGGGGCCCGGTGAGACCCGGCCACGTGCAACATCTGCAGCCGCAAGCCAGAGGCAGAGGGCAGGTCGGCAGCGGCCAGGGCTGGGCGGTGGACCTGCGTGGGAGGCTGTGGGGCGGGTGGGTGTAGCTCGAGTCGCTCCGACAAAGCCTGAGTGGGCTGAGCCAGCCCTGCAGCGCCCCGGGGCCCCACCGGGCTTACCGGTTCACGTGCTGCTCCCTCCGGGTCACGTTCATGGTCGACAGGTTTTTCTGACAGATCTGGCAGAAGAACAGCCCCTTCTCCTCCAGGCTCTCGCTCCGTGTGGCCGCGCGCTCCTGCCCGAGCTCCTGCTGCAGGGCCCAGGCCACCGCGGCGTCGCTCTCGGTGACCGGCAGCCCCGGGCCAGGCCCTGCGGAGACAGCCAGCGTCTAGGGCAGCCCGGCTTCCTGCCCTGCTGACAGCTGCCGGGCTCCTGGCACCCCAGCGCCCGCCTTGGGCACTCCCGGCTCCCGAGAAGGCCCAGGTCTGAGAGCCGCGCTCCCCTGGCGACGGACGGGGCCTGCTGCGTCCTTCCCCGGGCAGCTGTGCCCTGCCCCTGCCACGCCGCCCCTTCTGCTTGTGCTGAAGCAGTACCAGAATGTCACAGCCCGTCACACCTCGTCCTGGGGCCTTTCTGCAGCCACAGGAAGGAGCGGTGTCTGCCGGCAAGCCGGTGTGGCGGGACGTGCGGGGCCCACGCAGGGCGCTGGGCTCAGGCTCCCCGCGCCCCCCGGCACCACGGGCGGGCAGCCCCCGGCAGGTCGCAATGCTCAGCTGCCCCGCACCACAGTGCCAGCAGTGGGGCGCACCCCCCTCTCCCTGCTGCTTGTCCTTTGGGGTACTTTTCCAGAGGCAAAGATTCAGAAGTGAAGATGCTGGGGCTGCGCAGCGGGACCGAAGGGTGAGGCCACAGCGCCCCACGAGAGGAGGCGCGCGTGCTGCCGAGCCAGCTGCCGCTTCGCTCTGCTGTGTGGGGACAGTTCACAGCAAGGGGCAGAGTGCAGGGGCGAGGAGGAGGCGCCAGCCAGAGAAGCTGAGCGAGGGGCCGCTGAGCTCTGCGGGGAGACAGCACCCTCCTACCCTGCCCGGCCGTGGCTCCCTCCTGGGGTCCCTCTGAAGCCATCTCTTCCCCAAGCGGGGAGCGCCGCAGCCGGTCGGGGTCCGCCCTCTTGAAGCGCTGCATCCGCTGCAGGACCAGCTCCGCCGTCCGCTGCGGGGCGCGGGGCTCCGGCTCGGCCAGGCAGGAAGGAGGGGCCTGGGGGCCGCTGCCCGGGGCGCGCTCTGGCAGAGAGGAAGCGGGGCTCAGACTGTCGCCGAGGCCGAGGCCCTGCGCCGCGCAGACCCGGGCTCAGGCCACCTGCAGGGATGGGAACGCGGGGGATGAGGGCTCCGACGGGACGGGGCGGGGAGTGGGCCAGACTGGGGGGTAACGAAGACGCCCTAAAATCAGGACACCCGGCTGGTGGCGGCTGCCAGCTGTGACCGCGGGAAGCCAGTGGCTCTGCGCCCCAGCACCTGCGGAACGGCATCGGGACACGGGTGACAAGCACGGTGTCCTCCTGGACCCGGGTGCTCTGTCCCTGGGCGGCCACAGAAGACCTCCAGCGGGAGCCTGGAACCCCTGCGGCCTCTCGTCGGTCACAGGCGTGCGTGGGCCAGTGTCTGGGAGCCCACGCTCCCTCCATTCCGCGCTCGGGGCTGCGGGGCCGGGCCGGCGCCAGCCAGTCTCTGGCCAGTCTGCCACCCCCGCCCCAGCCAGAGGGCCCGCTGACCACCCCAGGTGGAAATGTTGTTTGTGACCAGGAAGTAACGGAGAGGAAAAGTTAGAAGCGGAACTCAGGTGCCCCGAGAGCTGGAGGTTTCGGTTCTGCAGACGCCACCACGCCCACGCCCCAGCGCACCAGGCCAGCGGCTCGGTCCAGCGAGCAGAGAGCTGTCTGCAGGCGGGAGGAGGCCGCCCCGGCCGCCCCCAGGGCCCCTCCTGGCACTGGCCCAGACTACAGAAGGGACGCGGCGAGTGACAGCAGCGGAGACTGCCTCCGCCGTGTGACACCCGCACACAGCACGTGACGCTGACGGGGCGCAGGCGCGGGCGGAACAGGGCTGGTCCACTCGGCGCCCGGGAGCCGCACAGCCGTGTGGCCGCGGCGCACACCCACGACTCCAGGCTGAGAGCAGGACAGCCCACCCTGGGCGCTCCAGCAGCGGCCCGGCCCGGTTACCTGTCTGGGTGCTCGTCACACTCCCAGGGGCCCCCGCAGGCGCGCAGGCGCCTCCCTGTCCACTCTCGGGGGGAGCTGGCCGTTGGGGCGGTGGGGCGCGGCCGCCGGGGCGGGCTCTCTTCCCGGCAGGGCCCACGGCGGGGGTGCTCCGGGCCGGGGTCTGCTTGGCGCTGTGCGGCCTGCCCCGGGGCTGCGTGCTGTTTGAGGCCTTTGGCCGCTTCCTTTCCCCAGACGCATCTCTGGGGCCATTCTTTTTCACCCTTTGGAAAAAGCTGGCACAGAGTTCTTTAAAATCCTCGTCTGACTCATCCATCCCAGCGGTGCGGGGCGTGAGGGTCCAGGCGGGGTGCGTGGGGAGCCGCTGGCCTCCTCACTCGCAGCCTCTGGTGCTCCGCTGGCTCCGAGACGGCCCGGGCTCCGCTCCGCTGAGCACAAAGCACTGTTCTCCTCTCCTCAGTGATTTAAAACGTCTCTGCTCAGGTGGCGCCTGTGTTAAACAGCCCATTTAAAGCTTTCTTCTGCCAACCTTCAGATCTGAGAGGTTTTGCTGTCCAACGAACATCTCAGAGCTACAGCAGACGTGAGCTGGTGCTTAGGTGGCCCTCCCGACCCGGGGACGGGCACGCTGGCCTGTGCTGTCCCATCTGTGGAGACCAAAAGCGTCTCAGTGTCGGTGGACACACGCTGTCCTCCCATGCTGCTTTCTCCAGGGAGCTACAATGTCTGCAATACGGGGAAGGTGTTCGGAGCGACCACACTCGTCAGGGACGCAGGTACAGCCAGACTCAGGGCCCACAGACATCCCGGAACAGGGAGGGGGATCTGGGAGCCTGGCAGAGCATAGGCGGGAAGCTGTGCGCATGCTGGGAGAGTGAAATCTGGGGAGCAGGGCCCGTAAGGGCAGTCACCACACAGATGCGATGAGATGTGAACCCAGGAAAACCCTGGCTGAGGCCCCCAGTGACGAGGCTCCGCCAGCACATGAGGAAGAGGCCAGAATGTGGGCGGGAGACAGGTCATCCTCCCTACAGCCAGTTTATGGGGACCAAAAAAGGACCCTTTTCCTCCACCCTCTCACCCAGCTCTCCAAAGGCAGGTGCCCAGAAGGCTGCCTCCGGGCACAGGAGCTTGCGGGGAAGTTTAGCAGGACTCAAGTCAAACTGACTCAATGGCAGGAATGGTCACTTCAAGTACCAGGAGTGTCCACTCCCAAGGAACGTCCTCAGCCAGCCGGTCCCCAGGCGGTGGGCCCGTTGTACCCATTGCCTCTGTCCAGTTCATGGTGGCATCGGTCACAAGTATAATCACACGTGACAGGCGACGGTCACCAAACGGCCACTATGCTGGGCGATGCCCAGGTGCTCCCCAGGCCTAACTCAGTTCATCCCCACCAGATCACCCCTGGCAGGACCGTCCCTTCCCAGGCGCGAGTGCCAGGAGCTGACTGAAGGCTTCTGAGTGGCAGGCCGGATGGATCCGGACAGTGGCACCAGGCGGGACGTGTTTCCGCTCACCCACTCCCTGAGCCCAGCACTGCACTGCGACCGCACCCACCCGCGTGGCATGTCCTTCCCACCAGCGGGTACCGTGGGCGGGCGAGGGCGGGCAATGAGCTGCTGAATGAGGGAGCTGCAGGGGCGGGGAGGGAGTGGGTGGTGGGACAGGTCAGGGCGCCCCCGGGGCAGCGCAGGCACAGCCACCTCAAGGGGAGCCCGCTGCCCGCGGGGGGCGTACGCCTCCCTCCCACGGCACCGAGTGGACACACCCCGTGGACACACCCGCGGCGCGCGCGACCGCGACCTGTGGACGGCGGCGGGGCCCCGGG